CTTGATTTGGCCATTAAATATTAAATCATAGAGGGGGGGGGGCTGAAAAATAATGTATGCCATAGCATCTTGTCGTTTATTAGCATTTAATTTATTTTTATTTCCTTTTTTCGTTAGAAATGAAAGTAATTTTGCACCAATGATTGGTCATTCTTTAGGTGGAAGGAGCTTTGGACCTTTCTATAACCGTTATCAGCAGAGGTGGTCAAAAAGCAGCTTAGATTTCATTACTACCTTCAAAGTTACAAAAACAATTCATAGCACCCCTGTAACGTTAGCCTTAAGAAAAAGACCAAGAATCGTACATCTCCTGTTAGTACAAGATTTCATTGCTACCTTCATAATTACATCAAAAATTGATAGCACCGCTGTGACGTTAGCCTTCAGGAAACTATCGAACCATTAATGGTACTCTATAGTCTGTTTCACGAAACCTGAGACTTTTTATTTGGCATTAAAATGCGTAAATGGCAATGCACAGTCTCGGACTTGGGCGACTGGACCGCTCGCAGGACACCCTCTTTTGTTCAGCGACCATAGGCTGGCAACCCGTCCATTGTGAGAATAGGAACAATGGGCACCCTTCATCCCTCCTTAATGAGCCCTAGTACCCGGACCTAACTTTTTTTCTCGCTGAAAAATTCATCTTTTGGCGTGAAAATTTAGTTCCAGCGTGAAATTATGATGAAAACGCACTAAAATTTCGTCAAATTATCTTAATTTTGAGCTGACCTACGGCTTTTTGGTGTGACCGCGATTCGCCGCGAAATACCGTATGTTGGCTCAAAATTAAGACAATTCGACGAAATTTTAGTGCGTTTTCATCATAATTTCACGCGGGAACTAAATTTTCACGCCAAAAGATGAATTTTTCGGCGAGAAAAAAAGTTCGGTCCGGGTACTAGGGCTCATTAAGGAGGGATGAAGGGTGCCCATTGTTCCTACGCTTACAATGGACGGGTTGTCGGCCTGTGGTCGCTGAACAAAAGAGGGTGTCGGGCAACGGATTTTAATGCCGAATAAAAAGTCTCAGGTTTCGTGAAACAGACTGTAGTGAGACTCTAGTTCCTTTACCTCTATTTGATAAGCGACATTTCACAGAGAAGGAGACTTGCATCCATACTCTTCTTTAACCTAGTGTAACCTAGTATAATGGATTATAATGAGTCACACTTTTTTCGCAGGTCGTTTTACTATTTAGGGGTAGTAAAGCGCTGAAGAAAGGCAATACTATGAACGCAATTTTTTTGATGGGACACGCTCTAAAGATCCAATTTTCAGATCTTTAGAGCGTGTCCCATCGAAAAATTGCGTTCTCAGTATTGTCCTTCTTCAGCGCTTTATTACACCTGAGCAGGAGATCAAGTGACATTTCAACAAAACAACCAATCGCATCTGTCAGTCTGTCTGACAACTCTTCTCCTCCTTAAAAAAGAAATCCTCAAAATAGGGGTTTTCGCTGTTTCGCAGTCCACATGCATCTCGATTCAGTCCTAAAATAACGTTTCCCTTGAAGATACAACAATTTTAGCGCCTAGCAAAAAGATATATCATGAAAAGAAGTATTACGTCAGTTTCGTTTCAATTCTGTAAGTCAAACAGAACTAGAGCCCGTTTTCGTGAAGGCGATTTTTTTTAAATTCAGTTCATAACCTCAACTCTACAAGATCGCCACGGATGCCAGGGTGGTCAAAAAAATGTGAAAGAATGATTTTTGAGCTTCTATTGGATGAATTAACAACAAAACCAAATTACAAAAAATATCGGGGTCGGTCAAGCAACAGTTCCTGGACGATTTCACGTGGAATGTCCCATTAGCGAATTTAGTTAGAAAACTTGTATGAATCGTACCTTATTTGTCGACATTTCTACGTACTTCCTGTAGGTGCACATCCATCACCCAATGTGTTATTTCACGAGGAATCTATTTTTAATGTCAAAATTTCGATATATTGAAAGCCAGTATCGATAAATTGAAATTTCTTGGGATATACATGAAAAAATCGCTAAAACCGATATTTTAATTCAATATAAAGCTTTTTTGACCCTAAAAATCGATTCTCTGACTCAAATTACATATAAAAACATCTATGGTATGTATCAGTTCTGTCTTTCCAATTGCTCATAAATTATCTTAGAAAAAAAAAAACACGGTAAAATCGAAATTTGAGATTTTGAAAATTCGAGCCCCATGTTTTCGAAGAAAGTGTGGACTATGGCATCATTTCCGTAACCTTGGAAATAAATAATTTTTTTTGGAAAGAAAAACTTTTTCACAAGGGGAAAAACTTTTTTCACGGGGGGAGAAATTTTTTTTAGGAGGAAAGAAAATTTTTATGAGGGGAGAAACTTCTTTTACGCGGAGAATAACTTTTTTCTACTAGGAGAGAAATATTTTTCTCCGGCGAGAGAAAAAATTTTTTTTTCCGCATGAGAAAAAAAATATTTTCCCCCGGTCGAACAAAAATATTTCTCCCCGCGCAAGAAAAATGTTTCTCCACACGCTACAAAAAGTATTTCTTTCCGAGCAGTGCTTCCCATGGTTGCCGAACCTAGCAGACGGGGTTCGAGTTTAGAGAGCGCTGCCGCTCCAACGCGACAAGGAACGGGAATGCAATGAATCTAGTAGTGGGAGCAGTGTTCCCGGGCGCTCCGTGTGCGAGATCCGTACTCTGCCTCTCTCCTTGCAGAGGCGAAAGCTCCGTAAGAACCAATGTTAACATTTTTCTTCTCAGAGTCGGTACTTATTGAAACCAATTTCGGGGTTACCTACCAATATAAGAGTGGAAAAAAATATTAAATTTTAAGCGAATGCACAGTACTTCTCCAGTTTAACGATAAATAAAGTATTCCCTTAAAAAATATGTGAATCGTTCTGGATTGCAATTGTAGTGTAAATGTTTAATTGTTCTACTCTCTGTCGTGTCTGACAACTCATTTGAATCCTTAGTTAAAAAGGACAACCAATAAAAGGACAAAGGAAAGGATCTCCTCCGCCTGTTTTAATACCCTGTAAAGAAAAATAAGGCTTAGGTTGAAAGTGAGAAAGGACAGAATGCATAGGTTTCACCAACAGAAGATAAAATAGGCTGGATTTTTGGGAAAGAACAAGGAGCTGCCTGCCCAGTTCTTACATGGTATTTATTACACTGCTCCCTACATATCCTTTAACCGCGCAAATGTAAGTTTTCCTTTCCTTGGTGAAACCCACTCTCTCTCTCTCTCTCTTTGCACTCTTAGTCCAAAAAAACTTCCTGCATACTTTTTGTTAAAATGCGCACGCATCTTTTGAAAACGATATCCAAGGACAAGACATGACGTGCACATGAGAATAACACTCGTCTTGTTAATCTGCAGGGAGGAAACAAATTTACGTTTGCGGTAGGTCGACGTTTTGGAGAGTTTGAATAATAACAGATACATGCGTTTTTAGGAATTGAAAGAGTTTTCTTTCTTATTGAAACAGCTTCCTTTCGTTATGCTTCGTTGACATGAAAATGGCGGTGGCTTTCGCTTCTGTTGATGTTAGTCTCTTTATTCTATGTCCGTGCTACTACTGGCTGTTTCATTATTCTGTGATGTGACGCGTAAGTTAAGATTGGGAAGCGTTTTCCCAATAGGTTTTTGTCCGTACGTTGTCCGCGCAGACATAAGGAACGTCCGCGCGCGCGGCACGGATATATCTGCACACTTGGGATCACTGAGTTTAGAGGATTCACGAGCAGTGGTTCGTGGGACTACACCAGAGCAAGTTACTGGAATTTTGCAGGAATAAATTAGCGGAACTTTTCCGGAGCATGTTTTGAAAAATTTCGTCCGGGAAAAACTTGATTTGTAGGTTTTCGCCAAAATCCGCTAAATCCAATTAACAAATTCCATGATTTAATGGATCGAACTGTCAATCCCATGCAATTCGATGAATCAAGATCTTACTGAATATATACTGTTCATCAGGAAGGCTCATGCACGCTAAATTTAAATGAATGACAATTTTAAAAACCATAAAAAAAAGGGTTGGCAATATTTTCCAACCAAGTCAGAGGGGTTGTTGAAAAGGGGCGCGTCCGCAAGCATCAACGTGGTACAATAGTAGGAACAATTCAGTGAGTGCAGTGAGTCTGGCCCAGGCCTGCCAAGTCTTTGCTGACATCCAACATTGAAAATCTCAGTACGAATGCCCGCATTTATACTCAGTCTAATCTAAATGCACCGACTACTTACAGGTTGAGAATTTTATAAGGTGTGCTCTGTGCTTTTGACAGGTCGATCATAAAACAAAATGAAATGGGAACTTCTTTACACAGATTATGGGGCTGATAAATTCCAAATATATCAACACAGTAAATTTCGTTTTACGGTAAAGTTCGGTTGGATTAAGATCTTTGAAACAAAATATGCAAAATTGGGATGACAGAAAATCATGGTGAAGAAATTCCAGCTAAGAAGAAAACAGCCAACTATTCTGATCAGGGGGCATACTAAAACACGAGGGCCAAAAGTCAGTACTTTTACAGAACTTTTTCAGTACATTCCCAAAAAATTCAGTACCTCCTCAGTAGAAAAATTCAGTACTTTTTCAGTACCTCCATTTGACGAAAATTGACAAATTTGAATTTCTCGCTCAAATTGGGACAAAATGACCGAAAAATGAAAAAATTCTGGACCTTCTGCGGAATTTCTGAACTTTTTCAGTATTTCCGGACCCCCCTTAAAAAATCGGTACTATTTCCGGACTCTCTGGAAATTGCGGACTTGTAGACACCCTGCTGATCCTGAAACGACTGTGCCCTGCCAGCTTGGTTTTTTTTAGACTGAAAATACTGCTCAAATATAGTCTTCATTATAAAGGAAAAAAATTAGGGAAATGACCTACAATCATATTGATTGATTCCCTTCTATAAAAAAAGTAAAGAAATGGTTATAGGAAATTCGGCGATGTAGTTTAGATACAAGTTTTTCAGGATTAGAAATTTACCAAAAGAGCCCAGTTTGAATCTTACTTCTAATTGTGCTTTTTGTCCAAGACCAGTAGATTTTTTTTTCCCACTCGATTGTCCAATAAACATAACTGGCCTGACAAGCGGCTCCAATTCTTTCAAAGCAGTTTGCGCTTCCGTCACTCCAACTCGATACTGAAATTAATAACGATAATAAGTGGTACTGAACTAAAAGAGAGACTTGTTGATTAAGTAAAATAAAATCATAAAAATTTAAGTTGTTAGAAGCTCTCGCCTGTTGAATTGGCGTGGAATGACCCTTTGTTTTGCATTATGATGCCACTGATAACACCGCATTGATAGCTCCTGTAACCAAATGGTTGTGATCGATGAAATAAAATAAACTTTACCAGTGAGTGCAATAGCATTTGAATAATGAAACGAATGAAAATAGTATTCTTGAGGTAACTGTCTCAGTGGTTCATTCACAAAAAATCCCTTGAAGCAATTTCCTTCCAACTTGAGGCAAGTGAAGCTAACAAGGGGAGGCTACTGATTGTCCACCTCAGATCGGGTTCAAATTTGGCAGAGAGGTAGAACAGGTTAATATAAGAACCCGTATTTTTTTTTAGGTGCCAATGCCCAGCCGTTTTTGAGTTATGAATTTTTGAAGTTGCCGTTTTTTCGTGTCAGCGACGCGCACCTTTTAATGCGATCCGAATGTCGCAGAATTCATGAGAGACAGTTGGCCAAGCGGTAGCGCGCTCGCCTCTGGTGCTGCAGGCTCGGTGTTCGATACTTGTTCCGAGGGATCAATTTTTAAAATTGATTATTTTGTTTTTTAATCGCCTCATCACAAGAAATAGTGAGTCACCTTGTAGACGTTATAATTCTAATTATTTTTTATGTATATTTAATTTTTTATTTTTTTTTTATGAGTGTTTGACAAAAAAGGAAAAAAACATAATTAGCATCACAACGTCTACAAGGTGACTTACAATTTCTTGTGATGAGGCGATTAAAAAACAAAACAATCAATTTTAAAAATTGATCCCTCGGAACAAGTATCGAACTCCGAGCCTGCAGCACCAGAGGCGAGCGCGCTACCGCTTGGCCAACTGTCTCTCATGAATTCTGCGACATTCGGATCGCATTAAAAGGTGCGCGCACAGTAGGCTCAACTTGAGCGCGTCGCTGACACAAAAAAACGGCAACTTCAAAAATTCACAACTCAAAAACGGCTGGGCATTGGCACCTAAAAAAAAATACGGGTTCTTATATTAACCTGTTCTACCTCTCTGCCAAATTTGAACCCGATCTGAGGTGGACAATCGGTAGCCTCCCCTTGTAAGATCAATTTGAGTGATAAAAAAAATTAAGGTCTCGGAAAAGTTGCACTTGAGGCAGAAAAAAGTTTCTTTCCAACAGGCTTCATTAATCCATCCTTAAATCGACCAGCACAGTGAGCTACACTGTTGCCATGGCAACTGACAAACTGTGGACACCCTGATATTGTGCTTTCTAGGCTGGTGAGACGAAGACAGAATCATTGGATCCTGTAGTTACAGTCAGCTAAAAAAATCCAATTAATTCTAAATCTCAATCCCTTCACAGTTTTTAGCCAAAGTAAGGTGGCTCGCAGAGCGTATTGCGTTTGGGAAGGAGCCTAGTGGCTAGCTGTGAAAGCTCAGTGAAGCAAGCCCGGAACAGCTACAAAATACTAGACTTATACCAATCTGATTGTTTTTGGTAAAGTTAAGGCTTCAAAAAATACTTACTTGACAATATATGATCACTTTACTGTTTCTAAGCTCCACGTTTTGTTCCATTGTCTTGAAATGAGCAGCGATGACTTCTCTTAGTTTAGCGAACTTTGGATGACTAGGTACATAAGTCTAGAGGGTTGAGGAAAAAATAGCGCAAAATAGATTAAAACACAAAAGAAAAGGGATTCAACTAAAGGGAAAATCTAATTTTTCTAAAAATATAGACACTTTTCCACTTATTCTTTTGGAATGTAACTTCCGAGTTGTGATAGAAATGGAAAAAATGTTCTTTAGGAGCACATTAGGAAAACCTATTTTCTTCAAAACAAACCAAAAATACTCATTCCTCACTCAGGCACTTACTCTTGCACTTTATCTGGCTCAAGTACACAGATCTAGAATAGATACACGGAAAAAAAAAATTTGCTAAAGTAACATCCTAAATGTTAAAAATCTGCGCAACAACTCTTGAATGTTGACATGAACGCTAAGGTTGTTAATTCAACGTAGCTAGGATGTTACTTTAACAGCCAGAGTGTCCATGACAACATTCAAGAGTTGCCGCGCGTATTTTTAACATCACTTAATCCGGGATGTTACTACAGCAATTTTTTTTTTTTCTGTGTACATAAAGAAAAATGTAAGAACTTACTTCTTCATGGGCTTTATCTTTGAAGTAGTCATCGATTGCTCTCAACAGACTTTTTAACTTCTCATTTTTTAAAAGGATTGGCATTGCACAGCTATCACTCTCACCTGAAATCAGAAAAGATTACCTAAAATTGAATAAATTCTAAAAAGAATACAGGCACATTCAACAGGATTAACGTTAGCGATCTCCCACAAAATTTTGGATGTTTCCGTTATACACGTTTACATGTCTATGCAATAAAATCACACTTAAAAAGACAAGGTACTTGATAAAATCTGTTTATTTGAGTGTATTACCACACTGACTTATTGACATAGAAAATAAGACGAAAATCCCTCTAGGAAATAAATCCATAAAAAGCAGGAGAGACCCAAAGCGTGGCGGACAACCTCCACCCTAGCCTTCTGTTTAACAAAAATTACTTCTCGTTTTGACATAGCCTGAAGTTATTCCTATTGATGCATTATGCCCAATTTCAGTGCATAAAACCTACCATACATTCCTGATAGGTCATAATATTTTTGTAGTTCACTAAATACTGTACGGTTTCTCTTCCTCTGCTTGGACAAAAAAGGCAGTTGAAATCAAAGAAAAAATCGAGTTAATTCTGATTTATAACCGTTTTTAAATACCTTATCATCCTTCACGGTTCGTTTTAAAAAACTTTGCTTTCCTGAAGATCTTCCGCGATTTCTTTTGGTAAAAGTGTCAAGGAAGGTCTCTGGATTGAAGAATTGAAAACTGCAAAATCGTAAGTGGGGCTTTTATGGCGCGTATACGTAGTATAGGTACCGCCTTTGCCATCGTTTCGACCCCCCACTCAATACAATAACCGAGTCCCTTAGTTCCTTACCGGAAAGTGACTACCGCGAACTTCTGAGATTTCCCAAAGCGTGTAAAAAGTTTACTGATCCGTCAATAATTATGATTTAAAGTTTTTTCTCATTCTGGGGCTTTCTAGTTTACGTGCAATGAATACCAAGAGTCTACGTTACTTGGTTTTTTTTAAAAAAAACCTAAGAATGCTCCACGCTAATTTAAAATATGCATATATAAGCAGAAGCAAATGAACTGATTCGAGGATGGCTGAGCAGTTCGGCACTCTTGTAATGAGAATTTCACTCCTCCCTTTTGTTCAAAACGTTGCTTTAACAGATCTCCACACCCCTGTTATGCTTTTCAAAATTTGGTACCACCGCTCACCTGCTGCTGCTACTGCTTTGGTACTTGCTGCTGGCTTGTTTTTGGCTATCAAGCCAGGGCCAGCCAGGGCAGCCGTAAGTGCAAACTGTGATGGGCCTCGAGACTCATAAGACCATTTGCTAAACGTGGCTCAAACAGGAAGCTACTTGCGCACATACAGGGTGTTTCAGACCACCCGTACCAGGCCTTTTTCTCGGTTGGTTTAGGTCGTACGAAGTCGGAGACCGCGGAGTTGAATAGGGAATTGACCCCAAGGAATCCGAATTTTGTGGTCCCGAAACCCCCCACCCCCCCCCTTGGGAGGTAAAGGGGGGGTCACGATGCTAAAAGTCACGGTTCCCGACTGAATTGCGGATTGATCGCATCAGAATTGAAAAGCACGGAAAATTTCACATGGAATTGACCCCTAAAAATCCAAAATCGGACCATCCAAGGCCCAAAAATGATCCCCTAAAGAGGGGGACAGTACCCCCCTCCATAATTTCTCTTCGGTCTCAAAATTGACGTAAATTCTCCAGAAAAAGACTGTTTCCCAGATTATCGACCTCGAGAAATCCAAATTTCATGGTCCCGAAGCTCCGCTAGCTCCCCTTGGGGGGTAAAGGGGGGGGGGGGGCCCAATTTTAAAAATCGGGGCTCCTTTCCGAATCGCAAATTGATTGCATCCAAATTGAGGAGCAGAACACATTTACATCTTAAGTGAATCCTAAGAGTTCTAATAGACCCCCTGAACGGCAGAAAGTAACTCCCTGAAGAGGGGGGCTTCGCCCCCGCCTAAAATTTCTCAAGATTCCTCAATGGTCGCAAAATTGACGTCGATTCTCCAGAAAATGACGGTCTCCCATAGAATCGACCCTGAGGAGCTCAGGGAACATGATATTTAGGGTCCTCGGGGTCGATTACATGGGAAACTGTCTGTTTCTGGAAAATCGAAGTCAATTTTGCAACCAAAGAGGAATCCTGAGAAATTTTTGGCGGGGGCAAGGCCCCCTTCCTCAGTTTTAAATCTAATTAGATAAAAGCATGTGCGGTTGCCATATTTTCGTTTTTTGAAATTGCTGAATTTGGCCACAAAATGTCAATTTTTTTATTTGATTAAAACCAGCCTCTGCTTATTTTTCAGCAACATTATCAAAATATGGAGCTTCGATGTCTCATAAAAGAGATTCAAGATTTATCAATGAAAAAAGTGCGTTTCATCCTGTATGCAGGTTGGCCAAAAACTGTTAAGCAGCAACAAAAATGCCCTCCGCGCTGGAGATGAAGCTTGGGCAGTCTAGATTTGATATGAGTGCACTCTTTTCTACTGGCTGAGTAAGATAGGAGTTCTCTTTTCTTCTCCTCGCAAAATTTAAATGAAAAATTGTTCTAACTTTACTTTTTGATTCCGAAGCAAATTCTGAAAGCCTCAAGAAATCGCTCCCACGGTTATAACACAGGAATAAACAAGCAAACCTATCTCAGTCATGAACCTCCAAAGTTCATTTCCGACACAACGATATTTTTGCTGTTACTTTCAATTTTTGAAAATCTGGAACAATTGGATAAAATACACTTTCATCATTTGTGAACCTTGAGGTTTTTTCTCTTTAGTTGGACTTTCAGAGATCAGGGCTTCAATTCTTGGCGACCCTAAGTAAAATCTCTAAACGGTTCGTGTTTACTACTTACTGGTGAATTAAAAACTATTGTTCCTTATTTTTCTTTGGATATTAAGGATGGGGGGAGGGTTCCCAAATTTCACTCTTTCAGTCAAGAAAAATAACCTCGGAAATTTTATTCAAACCAAATCCGCTGGTCCATTTGTGTAGATTTATTTTCATAGACCAGTTTTATTCCCTGATTGAAGTTAAGTGACTTTGACATAATGCCTCATTGGATGTAAACAAAAACGAGTCTATCAATTGATAATGTCACTGAAAAATAAACATAGGCTGGTTTTAATCAAATGAAAAAATTGGCAGTTTCTGGCCTAATTTAGCAATTTCAAAAAACAAAAATGCGGCAACCGCTGATGCCTTTATCAAATTAGATTTAAAATAATTCACACAGTATACAATGATGAGTATTTTCATAATATTTGGTGATAACTGCAACTCAAAATCTTCACTGCCTTGTCAGCCGCACTATTATCACGTACGTAACTTGACGACACCGCATAAGGTGGTGCAATTCTTCAAGGGAGGGTTTGAAACTTTTGAGGACACTCATTTACATATTTTGAAGACTAACATACATAAAATTTTGACATAATTTGACCAGAGGGCGGTAGGTTTTGGTGGTCACAGGTCACAAATTGGCTTCTGCCGCCATTTTACCCTTGAAATAGAAAAAATCGAAAATGAAAAAATTGGCCTCACTCACGATATTGCGGTTTTCAATTCTTCAATCGAGAGACCTTCCTTGACACTTTTATTAAAAACAAATCATGGGCGATTTTCAGAAAATTTAAATTTTTTTAAAACGAACAGTGTCTTATTTCACAGCCCATTATTAACATTTATAGGCAGTTAGTAATTTTATTGTTAAACCGATCATCCTTCATCCTGACGCTTGGAAGAAAATTATCTTCGCTTGATTCGATTGATTTCTTCCAATTGCCTAGCAGAACCTGCCTCATGTCAAAACCATCCCAACCACCTTGTCGCGACTAAATTTTAGGGTGCAAGTGGATGAATATTTGGATAAAATGAGCAGAAAAGGAGTATCAAATCTAAATTATATCTGGAGCAATAAGGAGTAAGCTTAGGGATTACCTAATAGTTGTTATTCAAGGTGGTCTGTTTAAGACAGTAAATCATTTTTGCCTACTCTGTATAAAAAACGGTAAGGAGCACCTCGACACACTTTGGAATTTGCAGGAGGCATTTGACCTTATTCCCTAAAAAATTCTAGAGTGGGTGATAAAAACATTGCTTTAAAGCAATGCCCTGTGGCTCATTTTGCCATCTCAGTTTGGTGCTACCACCACTGATTTTTTCTTTGCTCCCCTTGGCATTCTGAGATACTATTTAGTTGAATTTTTTAGATGTTATCTACCTTAATCCACAAAAAAATTTAGCCCATGTTACCATACAAATTCGGTTCCTCTCTTTTCCTGGAGACAGCATGGTTTAGTTTTGGGATCTGGTTTAGTTTTGGGATGTTCTAATGTCAATTCAGGGGAAAAAAATTGCCTGACAAAACTAAAAGTATAAGATTAACTGACAATGTCATAATAAAAGATAACTAAATGAGCAACTTTGACCTCCAGAAAGGAGGAAAAACAGCGAGATTAGGAGAAACATACGTGAATGATACTGTCAATTCTTGGGTCTGGACCTGCAACAAATAAAAAAAAAACAGACGGATTCAACCAAGACCACTTTCCTTGTTAGGTGGGAGCGCAGACCTTTCCTGCTGAATATTTTTGAAGACAACTAACCATAGAAATGTGAGTAGAGGGCCTTAAAGCCATAAGTGTACAACAGATTGTGAGCATGAGCTAGGGTTTGGCAAACTAGGAGACTCATATTGCACCTGTTTTTCACATTTTGATCAATATCTTTCTTCCTTTTGAAAGTTTCCATCAATGTCATGACCTGAAAATTAAAATTTTTAATTGAGTACTAATAATTGGAGGAAAGTTTTATGCCTCTTTCCTATTTAAGAAGTCACACTGGCCGGAAAGTCAATTTTTTTGGGAGCCAACGACAATTTTTTAGGGGCTAAATTAACTTTTGGGAGTTGCATGGTGATGCATGAAATTTGCCGTCGCGCCTGTAACTGTAAGTTGAGAGTGATACCGCTGCTTTACGACAACGAGGTTGAAATAAATGACAGGGTGCGTCAACTTTTCTAAGCACCACAAACTCACTGGCCCAGCCCTCCCGATTTTAAGCCGCATTTAGGCGAAGACATTGATTCACATAGACCGTGCATTCGACTTCGTTTTGTACAGAAGTTTGAAAAGTTTCTCGGACCTCCATGATGGGCAGGCGGGGAGAGGGAGAGAGCGTATGCTCCAAGCTCTCAAATATATGGCAGAGAAGCAATGGAGACTTTATTCGCGCTTGGTTTTTCGCGAATAACTCGTTTTGAGAGTAACATGATTTCAGACAAAATTCTTAATGACAAAAGTTGTTGGGCATGTAATTCTCCAACCGATTTACAAAGTTTCACTTTTCTGAACTAATTACCAAACGAGAAAAAAGCCTAACAATCCGACCAAAATTCACTGGGGCCACTACTGAGCAAGAGCAGATGTGCGCAGTTGGAACATGCGTGGTTGGTGCTCTACACTCATCGTTCGGTGCGCCATGCGATTTTTTAAAAGTTGTGATGCCTTCTGTGATACAGGATGCATGGTCTACATAATTCAATGTCTTTGCATTGGGGGCATGGCGCTCAGGGAAGGCAGAGCACTGTCGGAGGAGAGTGAAAAGAAACAAAAAAATTCTGAAGAGTACTTCCAACATTATTTCATTTGGTATTAATGATAAAATTACCAAGTAAATTATGGGAAAGCAGAAAAATTCCTTGGCTCATTTACATCAATCACATTGTACCTGTTTAACTGTAAATCCAGTTTCCATAGACCCAGTAGTATATCCCTCCTTCATGTTAGAAAATTTGCTATACCCTTCCTAGTAGTTCAATACACAAAGAAAACCTGTAAAGAAGCTTACAAACAGTCAATCATGCAATTTACTCAGATCATTTCATGTCTTAGAGAAAAAGTGTAAATTTTTCCATTTTCCATTATCTGATCCAATTGAAGGTGCTGGACCCGAATTGATCGCTGTTCACGATCTGTTTAATATATACCAGCAACCTGAAGATTCACAGGAAAAAAAAGGAACTTTTCTGAGACAAAAAATGCCCCTTTAATTAAAAAAAAAAAAAAAAACTTATATTTATCTCATGGAAAAAGCAGATTTTTGTTCCATATTTAACAACCTAGTGTTCAACAGCTGAATTCAGTTTTTCTTCTAGAACTTTTTCGCCCTTTTGCAAGTGAGTGGGTATAAAGGGTGTCCAAGGATTAAGTACGAATGTTGAAGGAGTCGATTCTTTGGGCCAAAAGAAGACGTTTTGGTGGTATAACTTTTTTTCAAAAATTGCTCTCCGTGGGGGCCCCATTAACCCCCTATTATCAGCTCTTATTATTCCCTCACTATTATCTTGAAAACAATGAGTTATACCGTAAAAGCGCAGGAGACATTTTCTCAATATTTTTCAACGTTGAATCTTGTAGTGCCGGCAAAAATAAATTTTTGTAGCTAGAAACATTAATTTTGGCCATTTTTAGTTTTGGTACTCCCCCTTAATCCCCCTTAAAATGAGTTTTACCTTTTTTGGAGGTCAAAAATGAAAAAAACGCTAAAAATTACTTCCTGTTACAAATTTTCATTGATAATAGTTGTTAAACATTGCTGCGATGTTAAAAAGGCGATTTTTTCCCTTCAATTTAGGGGAGTCGTGGCGTCCAGGGAAAGCGTTTTTGGAAAAAAATTGATACCACAAAAACGTCTTTTTTTGACTCACAGAATCAACTCCTTCAATATTTGTATTTAATCCTGGGACACTCTGTATAGGCTCAGACTCTCCAACACATACAGGGACCTCCGCACGTTGGCAGCAAACACACATTGGCATTAGGGGCTGGTTATATGTTAGGGGCACGGAGATATGATTCATGACAATATTTTTGTAAAATAATTTGGTTTTGCAGAGGAAAATAACATTTCAGATAGCAGCAACGACTGTTGTCCTTCAGCAACGGTTTCATGTTACAGTAAAACTCGCTTATATCGTCCTCTGTTTATATCGGAAACTCGCTTATATCTGAAGTTGCCCGCGGTCCCGATTTTTCTCCCATAAGAACAATGTAAAACAGACCCGGGTACATTGGAACTGCTCATAACGGAATCCGCTTATATCGTGACAAATTTTCGGTCCAAAACCTATGTAAACGGGATTTTCCCCCAAAATTCTGCACTGAGTTTCAAAACTTTTACGTCACTCGTGAAATGCAGACGCTTCGCTTTCTGCGCACGTAGCCCGTTGCCCGATCCCCCCCCCCTCATCTCCGATCTGCGACAGCGAGGAGCAAGAGCACACACAAGGATTTGAAGCACCTCACGAGGTTATGCCGTGCAACATCGGCTCGCAGCAGCAGCATCGATGCTGTATGCTCAGGCAGCGGCCCTACGGGCATACGGCTCCACGTCTGATGCGCGCAACCCGCCGGCGCGGCGTCGCCCTCGAGTATCGATGCCTGATGCTGACGTGCCGCCCGGGCCAGCATCACGTCCTGATGCTGAAGTTTGATGCTACGAAAACGCATGTGACCAAGAAGCAATTCATCTTGTGATGCTGGAACCTCGGCTCTTAGTCTGATTAGGCATCGCTCTTCGATCCCGCGACGGAGCCTCATTACTTACGGGGCTCTCCCAGAAGACTGCCGGGGTATGCGACCCTTGGACCTGGCGATGAATTCGCGGAACACTCCTTTGTCTACATTTCCCATCGACGCGGCGGCCCACACCTCGCCGTGCCGGACGCCGGCGTCCGGCCTCTCTGAATTATGCCGCTCGCCTAAAGAGCCGAGGGGCGAGCACCGCAAAGTGAGGCAGCAAAATCGGGCGATGTCGGGTGACGGCATCGTAAGTGAAGCAGCATCATCTAGCTATGCTTAGGTGTAGGCATCGCTAGCTATGCTGGCTCGCGGGCAGATGCGATCTCCCGGCGCACTGTTCGATGCGGCATCAAAGTCTGCGCCGGATACCTGCTTCGCACGGCGTTGCCGCACCGAAGTTTTGAATACCCTCCCGTCATTCCACACCTCTTTTTCTCGTCCGCAGAGCAGTGCGTCAGAGAGTAGCGTAAAGTGTGGAAAGATATACTCGGTTCCCGGAGGGGGTGGGGCATAGTCATTTGTGCCTGATACAAAATTAACGGTCGGCTGGGTAAAAACCCATTATTTTCGAAACGGGCGAAAAACATCGAAACTCGCTAATACCGGAACCCGCTTACACCGGAAATTTCGACCGGTCCGGAGGTGATCCGATACATGCGAGTTTTACTGTACCTGTCAGTAGGCCAATGTAAACCTAAGGAAAAAATCATTATTTCCCTTTAAATAATACGTATTTTGAGGAGTACACACAAGAATTCTAGAACCCTGAATTTACTCCCATCTAGCTGAGGTCAAACTGCTGTAATCCTGAAATTTGTCTTCCTGTTTTGTCTCAAAATAATTAATCTTACTAGGTAAAAATTGTTGTGGCAGTATCTCCTTTTCGAGGAGCACAACAGCTGAAGCTGAGATTCTCAGTCTTTGCTGCCAAAATTGGGCAAAAACTGCCGTGCTTCTCAAAGTTATTGATTCGGTCTTGGCGCAATTTTTTTCACCTAATACAGAAAGTTTAACCTCAGTCGACTTTAGAGCTCTGGAATACATGTGTAGACCGCTTAAAATACATTCTACTTAAAGGGAAAACATAATTTTTTCCTTACGTTTACTTTGGTCTTCTGACACATAACTCTTAATTTTACAGAAAATTTTTCCTAGAAAACATCAGTCCTTACTTGAATATATAAAATTATGTATAACTAGGGGCCTGTGGCCGCTACGCGGCCGCCAACCACTAAAAAAGAAACTATACGTAAAAAATAGCAGAAAATCCATGATCAAGGTATTTCAGAGATGAATGGATTAAAAAGCCGACGGGTGGACGCGAATGAAAGCGTATTTATCGGTGATTGCAACGTTATGCACAAATTTTTATGTTTTTTTTCTTTTCGCCGTTTTTAAAAAGCTACACATAGTTTTTCTGAAGAGTTTCCTTGCAGTTTCCTAAATGATCTCAAATATAAGCGTCGGAAATTTTGACGCGATATTTTCGTTTGTTCTGTTTTCTTTTTATTGAACCAAAATTAATTTTACGCGAATTAAGTTTCAGAATCCCTGCATCGTTTGAACATCGTCCGAGTTTTTGAATCGTTGCAATTAAGATACATATTCACCCTTCAATTGTGGTAAAAACCGGCAGGGGCCGTCAAAAGAACGACGCGTGGTCCTTGTTTTATGGCGATTTTAGCGTTGCGCAAGCCAGGGAAGGGAGCGCGGTTGAGTGTCAAGAGATCTTCATAGTGTGATGCTCCCTCAATCAAGCTAGCGGCAATGTGCCGATACCGGTAGTCGAATAGTTATCGCAAATAACTCTCGCAGTGCGTTTGGTGTGATGCGAGAAGTATCCATGTGGTCTTGTAGGCGCTAATATGTGTTTGACGCCGACCGCACTGTTTAGCGCAATGCGTGCAGTATTCCAGCAGTCTTGCAGGCGCTGATATGAGTTTGTCACCTACCGCACCGTGTTTGGCGCTTCGAACTCGCGTCACAATAATCGCGGCATCGAACAATGTGGCTTGAGAGGCCCGTGTCGTGTTTCGACGCCGTATGAGCATTCCGACGTTGCCTCGTTTCTCGCGATAACATTTTTTCTGAGAAAAGTTGGGAAAAAGCTGAATGTTCGCTTTTAAGTGTTGAATGGACCATTAAATAAGCTACGAATTTAAGCGCTCTGATACATGATTCTTCACCAAAATTTTACGTAGAATATGGTTTGCGCAACGGAAACTCCTGAAATTAACTTCCAGCTAAGATATTAACATTTTTACTGTCCATTGGTTACGGGAAATTTGAATTGCCAGCTCACAAGAAAAGCAAAACCATACGCGAAACAAATTATGCACTACAACGGCTTTAGCAAACTACTCAGCGAGCATTTTTCCTTTCCCAAACTGTGTTGTTCAGTGTGTACAGCTTGAGTTCAGCGTCAAGATTGATGTTGCCATATTTCCATATTACTGAGACTATCATAGTGACGTTTGGCAAGTAATTTAACCAAAGTAAATTATTCATTCTTCCATGAGCGGAATGGTGGAAACTATTCATGAAAAACGTTATTATCACGGTTAGGAGTTAATCTAGGGTTAGGATTTCGATCCCTCGAGTTCGACGTCGAGTGGTCGATATCCTCGTTACCTATTGGTGTTTACACCGTGAGCCAGCAATCCTGGGATCGAAGGATTGAGGAAATTTTCCTGCTTTTTGTTTACCCATTTTTTTCAATTTGTCCAATGAGAAAGTAGGTAACTTTTTGAAATATGCATAGTATATTATGCCAAAGGAGAAGAAAAATTAAGATAGATTTAAATAAACTAAGTTGAGTATGGCAGGGAGTCTGCTTCTGCAACGTCGCGAAAGGAGATCCATGGCTTCGCTGTTTGGTCATCGATTTGTTTACATCTCGTTCAAAAGTTGATCTCCGAGATTCCCGTTGTGTGGATTTAGTTAATTTACGTAAAATTTTGAAGCACACCTCCGCCGTAAATCCATCATCCACGGCAACCTCCATGACGACAAACGCTTCAGGCAGCCGGATTATCAGCTGACCGAAGAAAAATAGGACGGGAAAAAGGAAAAACCGCGCATCTCCCGACGGGACCAACGGGACAACCGTTTTTCCCGAGGGGGCGAGGGGGGCCGGGCATGCCGGCCGATCCCTATATTTTTCCCGCCGTCGGGGGACCGGGACGGTCGAGCCGGTACCACCCGCGCACGGATTGGCCCGGCGGTTCGCGCTGAATTTTGACGCAAAGAAAAGGCTTACGGAATTATATATGGTGATGATGCTAGAGGTGGAAAGAGATTGATAAAACATGGCACCCAATGACATCACAATATTGACCGTACAAAATATTACAGACGGTGACAGGAAGAGCTAAGGATTTCTTCAGGAGCAGATAAATCTGCATGCAAACTCACACAAACTCACTTTCAGAGCAACCAAAGTTATGTGATGACAAGGATTTTATTGAGTAAATCAATTTTGGGGACTATAAATCATTGGTTGAAAGGAGAAATACACGTAGGTCATTATCATACTTGATGTAATCTTTTGTTCAATGGGGTTTTCACTTTATATTAGATGGATTTATATTAGCTGCAATTTAATTATTAGTGGAACTTCTACATCTCTGATTAAAATATGTGCTTGGATTTCTAAACTTACCTGATATGCAGACAGGGTGCTAATGTTTCCTCTGACAACATTGTGATCTTTCAAGGGACGCGAATAATCTTCGTACAACTAGAAAAATTGTAATCCAAAAAACTTCAGTAAATAGAATATAGAAGTTAGTATGAAATGATAGAATGACATGCAAGAGCGGCTAGGCGACTCGAGTTTGATGGTCTCAAACAACGGTTGCCTTGGGCTGGTACATGGTAGGGACGGAGGGGGGAGGGGCTCTTACTGGAAGCGCTAGGATTACCACTTGTGTGGTATTTGAAGTAGTAAAAAAAAAAAAAAAAAAAAAAAGAGGAAAGGCTATCTAGTTGATGGAATAAGCTCAGTAGAATTTTAGAGAAAACACTTGGATAGATTAGAAGAAAAAAAGGTAAAAAAACTTTGAAGTACAGTGCAAGGAGATGAAAAAGATGAATAAGCTTAGTAAAATATTTGGAGAAAACACTTGGATAGATTAGAAGAGAAAAAGGTAAGAACACTTTGAAGTACAGTACAAGGAGATGAAAAAGATGAATAAGTTAAGCTGTACCGTTTTCTTAGACTTAAAAATGATTTTGATTTACTCAGTTTTCAAATTCTTTAAGTTTTATTTATTCGTTTCTTTTTTCCCTTGTTATAGCAAAAGACTCAACTTCATGAGTATGAGAAAATAACAAAAAGAAACACCCCTGTCATCACTATGCCCAATCTTTGGGCTGATCTGCTTGGAGAGGTGCTTTCAAGAAGTAAAGTAAATAAATAAGGAAGTAAGATTTCGAAAGAGGCTGTCTTTGGTCCACCATGGGCATGCTGCCTAGCTTAAGCAGTGGCATTTGAGAGTGTCAGCAGTGACGTAAATTCTTCAACCCTCCAAAGGGGCTGTTCACGTACAAGGGATATTCTCGAAGTATGTCAATATTTGTTATATCTTCTAAATTAATAAGGATAATTTAAATTTTTAAGAAGAGTTTGAATTGTTACACTCTCAGCTTTCAAAAAAACTTCAGTTTTTTAAATTCAGTTTTCTGGGTGCCGAGTAAGATTAGTTTTCCTACACCCGTCTCTCGCAACCGCGTGTCCAAAATTTTTTCGCTGGGGAGTTCGCAGGACGGTCATATGCGACTTCATCCTAGATATGGTCAAAATAAGATTTTTTGTTCAAAATTGAAAAGTTTCATGTTTGAGAAGACCTTACTTTACTTTCCCACGTAATCTCTATCCTATCGAACACATTTTTTATACCATGACGCTAGCTTTTTGATTCCATTAGCGTCAAACTGTCGATCCTGTTTTTGCAACCACTTTTATACAGCTTCTTTCATCTCATCGTCGTCCGCGAATCTTTTTCCACCAAACCCTTTCTTCAGCTCAGGAAATAAGTGGTAATCACTTAGGGTAATATCTGGAGATAGGATGGGAGAAAAGATCTCATTTGAAGGAGGTCGGCAATGGGTTGGTCAAAGAAACTGTTTGAGGCCTGGCGTTGTCATTAAGTAGCAAAACTTGACGAGACAAAAGGCCAAGGCTCCTTTTGATTGCTGTTTTGAGCCTTTCCATGACATCACAGTATCTGTCAGCAGTCAGCATTAATAGTTGTGCCTCTTCCTGAAAAATGTCCAAGTAACGCTCCTTGAGCACTCTCCAGCTCGCGTAAATTTTGGACACGTGGTGACAGGAGGTGAGTGTGGGAAAACTAATGTTACTCGGCACTCAGCAGACCAAATATAAAACAAACTGAAACTTTTAGAAAGCTGAAAATGTGAAAATTCAAACGCTTTTTACAAATTTAAATCATCTTCACTAGTTTCGAAAATATGAAGAATGTTAACTTACTTTACGAATACCCCTTGTATTACATAAGGCATTTTGCTCGACTTCAGACACCCCTCCCCCTGATAAGTTACCTGCAAGACATTAAGACTAGCTTGACCCCCTCTCCCCTGCAATTTTTTAGAAAATAATAGATGAGGCCTGATAAATAGCTAGAAAATTTCTTACATCGGAAATTTTTTTTTTTTAAAAATGAGGGGCTTTAAAAAGAGTAGGCTTGACACCCCTTGCTTCTCAAAAGACCCCACAAGGCAAGCTCTGACCCTCTCTCCCCTGCAATTTATCAGAAAATAATAGCTGAAGCCCGAAAAATAGCTGGAAAATTTATTTCATCGGATTTTTTTTTCTTGTTTTTTTTTTTTTTTTTAACAAAGGTATTTTGAAAGAGCAGGCTTGACGCCTCTTGCTTTTCATAAGAACCTGGAAGGCAAGCTCTGAACTCAATTACTTTATACTTGGAAAATGCAAAATTTTAATGCTTGCACAGTATTATTTTCTACACAAAAAACATCCTCGCTTCATGCCTTGGTTTTCCCACTTTAAGGCGGATGTAATTTTTGTTATTAACTTAGTGGTCGTTGGCAATCTTTAGGAATACTACGAATCGGCTGCATATTACAAAGATCGTTTTTTTCAATAAACTACACTTGCTCAAGGGAATTCTCTCTCAATTGTTTTTGAAATTTTCCAAGAAGGACCACCCTCAGTCTGCTTATTATTATTAAAGAGGATGAACTAACCTCCAGAAGTTTACCCTGGAATTGCTTCCATAAATTATCAAGTTTAAGAACAATATGACTCAATTTTCGACCATGTATGTATTTTACTACATCTGGAGAATCTTCTGCTCGCACTTGAACTTTCGCTATGTTTAAGTTATGGATTATCTGCAGCAAAACAAATAAAATTAAGATAAAAAACACGTTTCAGAAACTAATGGCGAATCATTCCACCAGAGGATAAAATTGCAGTAAAATAATTTCTTTTAACATGTGGACCGTTGACATACCTTTCAGGACTGTTTGTCAAAAAAATTAAATGCTTTCGTCACTTTTTCAATCAATTTTCTACATAAAGATTATTTAGACATGTCTATTGATTTAGGTACACGTACCTCGTCTTAAAACTTTTTGCCTTTTGTCAAAATTTGAATTTAAAAATGTTTTGTCTTCTACAGCCCGTTCATCAAAAAGATGATTAGAATGAAGATTTCTAGTTAAAGGAAGATACTTGTACGAAACACTCCTTCAAAAACGAAACAGTGTTCAAAAACTGTCGATGTAATGCAGATTTTTAGCATGTACATAAATTGATCCTTTGGGATGGTGCAAAACTGCTCTATCTCTTTCCACCTATCACTCACACACCTCAGAACCAGCTCTGCAGGTATGTCTGTGTACATGGAAACGACATCAAGAGAAATAAGGCGAAAACCATAGGGCAATTCTGAATCATTGACGAAATCAAAAAATTCAAATGAGTTTCTTACATGATATTCAGTTTTACCCACAATGTGCGATAAAATTCCTGATGAAAACGTAGACGCTGCAAAAAAAGGTGAATTTATGGTGCTCACAATTGAATCGAGGTATGCGAAAACGTCAGATGTCCATTTTTTTGGATTTTGAGTTTTTTGGCTTAACGTCATCTTCGAGGGTAGGCACATCTATGTGTAGACGGATTTGACCTGTTTTTTGTTTTTTCGCCCCCATTTAGGGGGTCGAACCTCAAAAGTATGCGAAAACGTCCGATGTCCATTTACGAGGGTCATCCAATGAGGTTCCCTACCTCTTATCTTCCAAACGGAAAGAGATAAGTCAAATCGGTAAAAAAGTTCTTATAAGGCATACTCTAAGCTTTAAAAGAAGCTCAAAGTTTTGGAAATTGGTCGAGGGGTTCGCGAGGAAACTTAATTTTACTGCGACAAATTCCTATCGCCGCGCGCTCACCTTCGGAGTCTGGATGCGCGGAGAGTCGATTATTTCAGACTTGGGTTTTCGCCGCTAAGCATCATATCAAAAAGAAATTTGAAGGTTTTTATTGAGTAGACCTTACCTTACTTTTTGACGTAGCCTTCGCCTCTGTTTTGACATTTCTGGTGTCAATATTGCAGCTTCTTGATGCCTTCCGCGTAGAGGCTGGCTCTTGTCTTGGCACCGGAATCCGTCATTGACAGCGCTCTGTACTTCCGAATCATTCGGATTCCGCTTTCCACCAAGGAAGTTTTACAGCTCAGTGAACAGAAGAAAGTCACATGAGGCTGAATCGTAAGAGTACGGAAGATGGAGGGAAATTTTCTTATGCAAAGCAACTGATTCGGAAGTGTAGAGGGCTTGTCAATGACTGGTTTCGGTGCCAAAACAAGAGCCAGCTTCTACGCGGAAGGCATCAAGAAGCTGCAATATTGATACCAGAAATGTCAAAACAGAGGCAGGGACTTTGTCAAAAAGTAAGGTAGGTCAAAAAGTGAGGTTCCCTACCTCTTATCTTCCAAACGGAAAGAGATAAATCAAATCGGTAAAAAAGTTCTTATAAGGCATACTCTAAGCTTTAAAAGAAGCTCAAAGTTTTGGAAATTGGTCGAGGGGTTCGCGAGGAAACTTAATTTTACTGCGACAAATTCCTGTCGCCGCGCGCCCACCTTCGGAGTCTGGATGCGCGGAGAGTCGATTATTTCAGACTTGGGTTTTCGCCGCTAAGCATCATATCAAAAAGAAATTTGAAGGTTTTTATTGAGTAGACCTTACCTTACTTTTTGACAAAGTCCCTGCCTCTGTTTTGACATTTCTGGTATCAATATTGCAGCTTCTTGATGCCTTCCGCGTAGAAGCTGGCTCTTGTTTTGGCACCGAAACCAGTCATTGACAAGCCCTCTACACTTCCGAATCAGTTGCTTTGCATAAGAAAATTTCCCTCCATCTTCCGTACTCCTACGATTTAGCCTCATGTGACTTTCTTCTGTTCACTGAGCTGAAAAACTTCCTTGGTGGAAAGCGGAATCTGAATGATTCGGAAGTACAGAGCGCTGTCAATGACGGATTCCGGTGCCAAGACAAGAGCCAGCCTCTACGCGGAAGGCATCAAGAGGCTGCAATATTGACACCAGAAATGTCAAAACAGAGGCGAAGGCTACGTCAAAAAGTAAGGTAAGGTCAACTCAATAAAAACCTTCAAATTTCTTTTTGATATGATGCTTAGCGGCGAAAACCCAAGTCTGAAATAATCGACTCTCCGCGCATCCAGACTCCGAAGGTGGGCGCGCGGCGACAGGAATTTGTCGCAGTAAAATTAAGTTTCCTCGCGAACCCCTCGACCAATTTCCAAAACTTTGAGCTTCTTTTAAGGCTTAGAGTATGCCTTATAAGAACTTTTTTACCGATTTGATTTATCTCTTTCCGTTTGGAAGATAAGAGGTAGGGAACCTCATTGGATGACCCTCGTACTTTTTTCCACTCCATTATTTTTACTTCCAACCCCCCCCCCCTCTCGAAAGCGACAAAATTGGGATCTGAAGTGTCTTAATTTTCCAAAAGTTTCCAAGGGAGATCCGTCGGACTCACCTAGTCCCTGGGGATTCCATCCCCCCCCCCAACACAGACACACACACACCCTCACACAGATACTCCATCGCCTCTTACGTGTCGCGGCTGCGCGGGCCTTAAATTCATAACCGCCACTGCATGCATAAATACTTACACCTACGTAAATACAACATATCGACGGTGTAAGTGTGTGACCATTTATCTCGTTTGCGATGTCACAAAATTTTCCCTGTTATTTTATTTATTGAATTAAAGGAGAACAAATCGTCATTATTCCTTAAACTTTTTGCATAATTTTTTCGGACTGAGAAGAAAGAGCACGGCAGTTTTTAAAAATCGCCGCGAATTTGTAGCATTTTGAATCTACTTTCATTTGAAAGGATCTACTTACTTTAAAGAATAGCTGAACAACAGTTACAAGCAAAAAACCATTTAAAAACGAAATTTTGAAAATTTTGGGCTATCTATGAGAACCCTGTAGTGACCGCAATTTTCATCAGAAAAATTTCAAACCGGGTTAAATAAGACCGAATTTTTATCTGCTTTCATGTGAGATCCACAAACTCTGTCTTAAAATCAACGGCTTTGGCGATAATAGCCGTAAAACGAGAGAATAACCTATTTTTGACCGTTTTTTTATCGGGGGGGAGGGGATTGGAGGGGTCCCCATGATTGTTCGAGGGGGCAATTTTGGATTCTCGTTAAGGTCCCCCTATAGATGAGAAATTAAATGAGAAAAAAAGTTCTGCTCCGAAAACATGCGATGGTAGCCGAAAAACGAAAGAAAATAGCCGATTTTTGACAGTTGTTTCAATTATGGAGGGGTTTTCGGGGGGGTCCCCATGATTGGTCGAGGGGGCAAATTTGGATTCTCGTTAAGAACTCCCTATAGATGAGAAATTATATGAGAAAAAAATTTCTGCTCTCAAAACGTGCGCTAGTAGCAGAACAACGAGAGAAAATAACCAATTTCTGACAGTTTTTTTGATGTTGGGGGTTTTCGGGGGGGTTCCCATGATTTGTCGAGGGGGCAAATTTGGATTCTCGTTCAGGACCCTCTGAAGATGAATAATTTCACCCTCCTTTATATAATTCTAATCGATTTCATGCATTCTAGGCAATCCTGAACACATATCTTGAGGGGCAATCTCAAAGTATGCGAAAACGTCCGATGTCCATTATTTTTCTTCTTCCGCCAGAGAAATATTTTTTTTTGTGTTACTGGAGGTCTGACATTATGTTTTACTCTAGTTTAAAGGTTTTTGGAGGGGTCAAAAATAATGGTTTTTGGGCAGATTTTTGCAATGTATGCAAAAACGTCCGATGTCCAAAGCCCTTTTTTTAAAATTACTCAGCACTGAATGGGAGTTGGAATGGGACACAGTTGGGTGCCTTTTCTACAACCCTTTACTAAGAAACACATGCCTTGATTTTCTTCAAAACGCCGATTCTAAAGGCCTCCACAGTTTTTTTGCGGTTTACCAAAAGTTGATTTTTTGGACATCGGACGTTTTCACATACCTCGATTCAATTGGTCGGAGCGGCTTATCTTCCTTATGTAATGGGTGGCATTGCAAATATTCTTGGTGATTACCGAAACCAGGTCAGGGCTTAATCGTCAAATCAAGGTCATCAGAACAGACAAGACCAACGTTTGACGTTAGATGTTAAAAAAAACCGAGATTTCCAAAATGGCCACCGGTTAAAGTTCAAAATGACCAAAAATTGATATGACAATAAAACCAGGGATTTTATTATATAAAATAACACAAGATTTTATTATAAACAAGGTGAAGGATTACGTAATAAAATACGATTTATAATAAAATCTTGTGTTATTTTATATAATAAAATCCCTGGTTTTATTGCCATAGTAAAACTTTAGTTGGCTTATTGCTCGTAATGATTGTTTTGCATATATATGTGTGTGTGTGTGTGTGTGTGTTGAGGTCACGCCGAGGGATCTATACCGGTTTGGGTTTTTTTTAGACCTCATCAGTTGATCACACTCGTCATTATAATTTTTGGAACTTCTTGGCTTTGTTTTCTGCGCAAAATGGTGTGGACCCAGCACCATTTCTCCACCTTGTGACATACAGTTCGGGCCACTTCTCAGTGTTTTTTCCTCATTTATACACACAGTTTTGGGGATACATGTGCTAATCTTTTTTCTCTGTTCGGAAGTGGGCGGTTGAGTTTAGATGTGTTCGCATCTCCAACTAGCCTGATGATCATTTTTTCGGGTTTTCCTTGTTTTGTTATGAGAGCTGTTCAGCAGCGACGATACATGGCGCGAGGATCACACTTTTGTGTCATGCCTCGGGTCATATTCATGACGGCGTTTTGATGTCTTCGTGGATTCTGCGGGATGCTAAGTTGGGTTCACTGACGAGTGCGATCTACGGATGAGGTCTAAAAAGACCCAAACCGGTATAGATCGCTCGGCGTGACCTCAATTTAATATTCCAATGCAAACTGCCTCAGCTGAACACTCTCCCCCCTCAGTTTTGCACTGGTACATATTAGAATTAAAACTTTCATTTTTGACTCATATTATAATTTTGGGAACTTCTTGGTTTTGTTTTCCCCGCGAAGTGGTGTGGGCCCAGCACCATTTCTTCACACACACACGCACACCCACCCTCACACACACGCACACACACCCTCACACACTCGCCCTCCCTCACACACACCCTTACACACCAACACACCCTCATACACACATACATGCATGAATTTGAATGGCATATATTTTCGTGATCTACGACGAGTGATCGGTGCTCAGGTCTGGGTCCAACATCATGGGAGAATGCAAAAAAGTATTTTCTTCGGAAAATACGCTAAAAATACGCTACTTTCAAGGGTTTTTGCTGCTTCTGTTGATTGTGCCATTGATGGTGTGAGTTTGGTTAGAAAAGAGTCGGTACGGGATCTTGGTGTGGTCTTTGACCAGCGCTTGACCTTCAAGGGGCACATCGAGTTTGTTGTAACGAAAGCTTTTAGAACCCTTTTCTTTTTATTGCGTCAATCTAAAGTCTTTAGAAAACCTCAAACATTGTTGCATCCTTATAAAGCGATTGTACTCCCTATTCTTTTGTATGCCTTTCCTCTTTGGAAGCCTTTTTGTATTTCAGATATTATACAGCTGGAAAGGGTTCAACATGTATTCCTTGGAGCCTTGTCTTATCGATCTGGTAATCCCATGTCCTTCTTTGACCATGATTTTAGGCCTGTTATGTTTGATTATGATCTTTTAAGTGTTTTTAATTCCGGCCAGTGTCAAGAAGCGTTTTTCTTATTCAAGCTTTTTCTTATTAACAACTTGATTGATTCTTCCGATCTTCTTTCTTGTCTTAGGTTTAGTGTGCCCGGTAGGGTTACAAGGAATAATTCTGAATTTTTCTTCATTCCGCTATCTTACCGGGGTTTCTATCATAGATCTGTTGTGGTGAGGTTGAGTAGGATGGGTATGCTTGGGAGCACTGTCGATTTATTAGATGTAACATTAAGAGTTTTCAAGTCGCTGGTGAGAGACCACTTCAGGGGTGAAGCTTAGGAGGGAAATGTGAATTTATTTTTTCTGTTAATTCTTTTATCTCATCTTATAATTTGTTCGAATTTGTTCAAATTTGTGTTTGTTTCCTTTCTGCCATTCTTGTTTTGTTTTTATTGTTGTAATTTTGTTAATGGATTTTGTCCGAGTATTTTGTAAACAAATAAATAAATAAATAAATAAATAAATGGATAAATAGATAAATAAAATAAAGTAAATAAATAAAATAAAGTAGATAAATAAATAGATACATAAATAAATAAGTAAATTAATAAAAAGGAATGAAATGCTGAAAACCAGAAATATTCTCAGAATAGTCCTTACTTCAATCCCCAACCTGTACTTGATAACATGAATGATTAAACTGATGTATGCAAAGGGAAAAAATTACCTCTTGGTAAGCTTCCAAATTATTACCAGGGGTGGCAGAGAGAGCTAAAATGCGAAATTTCAGAAGGAAGTCGCTCATTTGTCTGATAACCTGAACAAAAAAGCCACAAAAATATTAATATAGAATTCATTTTTGAGGCAAGGAGGAACAAAACAATTTTAAATCTTCAACCTGACCGTCTGGCAAAAAATTCACTTTAAGGGGCAACTTTCAGGGCTCATCAATGACACACTCACACTTACATTGTTAAACGAGGGGAGGGGGGGTCCAATAGCCGTCGAAATCTCCCCTCGCCAAAAAAGACCTGTTCACTTTTGCTTTCTAAAGGGTTATTGAGGGTATTTGACATTATTTCTCAAGTGATGCGGTCAAAATCTGAATTCAGATTTTGACCGGAGCATCAGATTATCTGATGCTTCGTTACCAAGAAATTTTCATAAGTGCTCCTCTGGTGGTGCTATTTCAGGTGAAGTAATGTGAGCATTGTTCGAAATTAAGCTCTGATAATATAATTAATTTTTAAAGATCAAGATCCTTCATATAGTGGGTCTCGGATTACATCTCGCCACCATTTGAATATGATTAGAATAGTTGAAAAACAAGAAGAAACAATAAAAAAGTTGTTTGTATATAATTTTGTCAATCCTGTAGCCACATTAGTTGAGTTTGAGGCTATTAGAATAGGTCATGGTCTATACTTCACTAGGTGGAAAAATGGTAATTTATTATCATTTTAGTAAAAATGTTCTAATTTCCCGAATTCAATTAATCAAACATACAACTTTCTCATATCTATTAAAAGGTGAGAATAATCGATGTATGCCAGATTTAATGTGTAATACGATGGTGAGTATTTTAGTCTTGCTACTTCCCCATATTATTTTTATACAATTGGATTTTAGCTCACTACAACTTGACGTAAATCACAACACTTATTTTGTTTAAAAAAAAAAAGATGTAAAATTTTGATATCCTTATTACATAGGGCAGCCCCTTAAAAGGGTATTTTAATATAATATAAGCACTGTCCTCCCTCCCCACACTGTAATTTTCTCGTTTTCACATACAGTTCACCAGTGAACTTCCACAAGGCGGTAGCAAGCTCAAATTCATAAAGCTTGAACCGTTGCAGTTGATTAGTAGTAATCATATATTTTTGAAGGAGAGCATATTCAATATACGAATTCCTCTAGAGTAGCGATCGATGAAGCGAACCGTCGATAGGATAAATCGACGCTACCAACTACAGAATGAGGCTACGTGTATGTGGCTGGATGTGATTAAATGATTAGTACATTATATTTTGATTGCAGTGGTAATTTTCTTGAAAACTGGGAACCCCGCATTTACGTGAATTCCTACGGAAAGTAGGAAATGTTATGAACACCATGTCGTAAACGGTTAGTTTGGATTGAAAACTGTAACTGGACGTGATTTAATGACTAATACTTCAAATTGTGATCGCAGCAGTTGAAAACCGGCAACCCCGCCGCCGCGTCAATTCCTTCGGTAATGTCAGTTTCAAAAAAGCGCAAAACATGAACTGATTTTTCAAATTATGTTCGGTTTAGGCGTTTTGCTTCAACACTAAGTCGCGAAACGTACAGGAACGAGGGTCAAAGTCAGGTGTTCGGCGTGTTGCCGAATTTTTAAATCGCTATAACTAGTATTTCCTAAGCCTCTCAGAAAAGTATGACATATCAATGGGGGCAATATCAAACGAACAATAATTCTGACAGGTTTTTATTCAATCCCCACCAACTGCAAACATTCTTTCAGACGGTGACGTGATTTTCAATAATTATGAAAATAAATAAAATAAGTAGCCAAAACGTGGCAATGATGGACTCAAATTTCTTCTGCGTAGGTCGATAGAGCATAATTTGTTGCGTTTTTTAGTATGAATATGAGTTCTGTGACTGTAACTGCATTTTTGCAAAAGTTATGGATGTTTGAAGGTTACGACTATAAAAAATGGCAATGCTGTTTCCCTGGGGTTCCTGCGAAAGCAGAACTAGAGAGAAGCCTCTCTCAACAAGTACTATTAGCCCACAAAGTTTCTTGCATTCCGGGTTGAGTACATTTTTCCCCTATGTGAATAACCTTCTTTCATCTTTATAGGTGAAGCCATTCAAAAGTTAGCTGGCCATCTTGGAACTGCTGGCTCACCCTGTAGATTATCCCGAGCATAACTGAGCCATACTCTAGATATGTTGTCTCTAGCACCATTTAGGCCTGAATCAGCTCATACAGAGAGGCAAGTGTCACTGAAGCAAGCAATTTTGAACGACACGATGTGTTGATCTGGCTATCATTCATACTTTTTTCCTCCATCATGCTCTGCTCCTTCCTGCTTGAGTTGTTTTCAGAAAAGGCTATAAACAATATTGCAGGTGCAGGTTGTTGATTTTCTTATAACTCTTATTCTATACCCCCAAATAACAAGAATCCAACAAAAGCAATCATTATGAGGCAATGGGCACTTGAAATTTTCTTATTGCGAGATGAATCAGTGGGAGACAGGACACATAATCATCGGACCACCTTCTAAACGATAAGTTTCATTGAAAATACACATGAGGAGGTAATAAAGTGTAGTACAGGGTGTTTCAGACCACCAGTATCAGGCCTTTTTCTCGGTTAGTTTAGGTCGCACGAAGTCGGAGACCGTGGGGTTGAATAGGGAATTGACACCAAGGAATCCGAATTTCGTGGTCCCGAAACCCCCCCCACCCCCCCCCCTTGGGAGGTGGAGGGAGGGTCACGATGCTAAAAGTCACGGTTCCCGACCGAATTACGGATGAATCGCATCAGAATTGAAAAGCACGGAAAATTTCACGTGGAATTGACCCCTAAAAACCCAAAATCGGACCATCCAAGGCCCAAAAATGAACCCCTAAAGAGGGGGACAGTACCCCCCCTCCATAATTTCTCTTTGGTCTCAAATTTGACGTAAATTCTCCAGAAAAAGACGGTTACCCAGGTTATCGACCTCGAGAAATCCAAATTTCATAGTCCTGAAGCTCCTCTAGCTCCCCTTGGGAGGTAAACGGGGAAGGGGGGGCCCAATTTTAAATATCGGGGCTCTTTTCCGAATCGCAAATTGATTGCATCCAAATTGAGGAGCAGAACACATTTACATTTTAAGTGACTCCTAAGAGTTCTAATTGACCCCCCTGAACGGCAGAAAGTAACCCCCTGAGGAAGGGAGCCTCGCCCCCGCCAAAAATTTCTCAGGATTCGTCTTTGGTCGCAAAATTGACGTCGATTCTCCAGAAAAAGATGGTTTCCCGTGTAATCGACCCCGAGGACTCTAAATTTCATGTTCCCTAAGCTCCTCGGGGTCGATTACATCGTCGAGAGATTACCCGTCGGTCGAGACCGTCTTTTTCTGGAGAATCAACGTCAATTTTGCGACCAAAGACGAATCCTGAGGAATCTTCGGCGGGGGCGAGGCCCACTTCCTCAGGGGGTTACTTTCTGCCGTTCAGGGGGGGTCAATTAGAACTCTTAGGAGTCACTTAAAATGTAAATGTGTTCTGCTCCTCAATTTGGATGCAATCAATTTGCGATTCGAAAAGGAGCCCCGATTTTTAAAATTGGCCCCCCCCGTTTACCCCCCAAGGGGAGCTAGAGGAGCTTCGGGACCATGAAATTTGGATTTCTCCAGGTCGATTACCTGGGTAACCGTCTTTTTCTGGAGAATTTACGTCAATTTTGAGACCAAAGAGAAATTATGGAGGGGGATACTGTCCCCCTCTTTAGGGGTTCATTTTTGGGCCTTGGATGGTCCGATTTTGGATTTTTAGGGGTCAATTCCACGTGAAATTTTCCGTGCTTTTCAATTCTGATGCGATTCATCCGCAATTCGGTCGGGAACCGTGACTTTTAGCATCGTGACCCTCCCTTTACCTCCCAAGGGGGGGTGGGGGGGTGGGGTTTCGGGACCACGAAATTCAGATTCCTTGGGGTCAATTCCCTATTCAACCCCACGGTCTCCGACTTCGTACGACCTAAACCAACCGAGAAAAAGGCCTGGTACCGGTGGTCTGAAACACCCTGTATATAAATGGATGCATTTTAATCAAAACGAACAACATCCATTATGACAGAAGCCCTCTCATGCACGTATTTTTCGGGATCTCGGGGTTCATGTCAGAATAAATATAGTTCCTTTTGATATAAATATATCGAAATTGTTGCAAAAGTTGCAGTGGAGCCGAAGTGTAAATAAATTTTCTTTATTACAGGAGACATGGAACTGGTGCATTGAAACTCCCGCTAGTTTGAAATATGTGACGGTCTGCAGCAGACTTTCATATCCTCGCGGGGATATGCTTGGCCGTTGCGTAACACGCCCCTCCCCTGGACCTTGGTTCTCAACCAGTGACCGCGGCTGTCCGCCATCTTGAGCCTCAGCCTTCGCTTGCCTCTCCGCGTCTCTGGCCGTCGATCAAGGTTCCCTTCCTTCCTCCGTTTCTCATTAGCCTTTTTACCTCGTGTTGAGTTTTCATTTATATTGTATTTCGAGCTGTGCCTTTTCACTGTGTTTTGTTGCCCAATAAACCGTTGTTTTTCCTTTCGTACTCGCCCGTCTCGTCTCTTTTGTTGCGTCTCCTCACCGACCGACCCTCTGAGGTGAGGCCTGCCTCGCGCACCTCATATTTGCCTAGTCAGCCACCTTCCCGTTTCATTTTGGTAGCAGAGCGTGGTTTTGTTCAGAAAAATCGTTTATTGTGTTTCTTTCCAGCTTTTTCTCCCACGATTGTGAATTTTCTCTGCGTTAAACGTTACCCGGTTCTCATGGCGTGCCGGTGAGGTGGCGTAACTACAAGTGCGTTTCAGGCGAGGAAAAGAGTTCCCGGACTTCTTCCGAGGCAGTCTTTCTTTCTTCGCGTGTTTTTAGCTTCAAGTGAAAAGTGCCAGTTTTTGTTAAATTTTGAGTGAATCGTGAAATTCGTGAAATTTCTGTGCTAACGAGAAACGGAGGAAGGAAGGAAACCTTGATCGACGCCCAGTGACGCAGAGAGGCAAGCGAAGACTCGGCTTCAACAGGTGGAGCCTTCTGATTGGTCGGCGCTGCTGATGCTGTTGTTAGCACCGTTGACTCATCCATCGTATCGGTGAAGTACCGAATGTTTTGATGTTTTGATTTTTTGATGACGAGTGCTTTTGATAATCTGTTGTTGACTTAAAGAGAGATAATTTAAATCTTTAAACCTTGAAATCTTAAACTCCTAATCTTGATAACATTTGCTTGTTTGAATTGAACTTTCAATTTATTTCCATTCTGAATTGCAAACAATTAATTCTTGAATTCTTGATTAATCCTTACAAGAACAATTCTTGTTCTTTCTTGCTTTTCATTGAATCGATCCTTAATAAAGACAGCCTCGACATGTACTGAACATGTAGCCTCTCCCCTCGAGATAATCTTGGGCATGCTACTTCTGTTCAAATAGTGAACTCCACCTTTTTGGGTCCTTACAAAGACTCACTTGTCCTCCGGCCTGGTACCCCCGGCGTTGGCACCTGGTTTGTCTCCCTGTAATAGAAATAAGCCTCTCCCCGACACTTCAGCTCGGGCAAGCTTTAAACACCACATCTTGCATTTTCCTCAATGCTGACCCTTTTGCTTTCGTTAAACACGTGATAATTTTCCAACTAGAGAACAGAGTGCATTCAAGACTTTCAATTTCTACCCCTGAATCTTGTATCTTGATTTCATTTGTACTAGACTGTTGTAAATTTCGAAAACTTTAATTTTTTGCCCAGTACTGAGAGTTTTAAACTCCACTGAATCTCTTGTGATTGTTTGTGTCTCTTTTTTTATCGTCGTGTATTGTTAGAGATGTACTTTAATTTTTGTAAATTCGCATTAGCTTTGCTTGTCCTTCTTAGTACGGACGTAGTGCCGTCATATTACGAATGTTGTTGTAATGCAATGTAATCAGTTATTACTTCCTTTATTAACTCCTACAAATATGTAAAATTGTACTGATTGAATTGTAATGATTGTACTGATTATGAATTCCCATGCCGTAAAATTGTCAGTAATTCTTATTAATTTCATCTGATTCTAATACTGTGACCTTCCGGCGAAACTTTTAGCCTTTTTTTTTTTTTTTGGACCCCTGGTCACTTTTAGGAGGGGGAGGATTGTGACGGTCTGCAGCAGTCTTTCATATCCTTGCGGAGATATGCTTGGCCGTTGCGTAACACTCCCCTCCCCTGGACCTTGGTTCTCAACCAGTGACCGCGGCTGTCCGCCATCTTGAGCCTCAGCCTTCGCTTGCCTCTCCGCGTCTCTGGCCGTCGATCAAGGTTCCCTTCCTTCCTCCGTTTCTCATTAGCCTTTTTACCTCGTGTTGAGTTTTCATTTATATTGTATTTCGAGCTGTGCCTTTTCACTGTGTTTTGTTGTCCAATAAACCATTGTTTTTCCTTTCGTACACGCTCGTCTCGTCTCTTTTGTTGCGTCTCCTCACCGACCGACCCTCTGAGGTGAGGCCTGCCTCGCGCACCTCATATTTGCCTGGTTAGCCGCCTTCCCGTTTCAAATAAACCATCGCCAAAAAACCTATACTGGGGAAACATGTTAAAAATTTAGGCCCCTCATGACAAATATGAGGTATCTGAAAAAGTTTACAAAATTAGAATCCACTCAATTATAGGGCTGAAATGAATTTGATCACTATATCGAGGAGACTAGGTTTGCTTACCTGGCAGTAAGAATAGTTACCCCGTGCCTTGTGTGCTTCATCAAAAATTACACATCTGACTCTGTTTGGATCACAGACATTTTTAAGAACATCATTGGCCATTACTTGTGGGGTCACAAAAAATATCCGTTTTTGTTTCCAACTGTCTATTCTATTTGTTTTGACAGATTTTCCTGAACAATAATAAGAGACAACAATTAAATCTTATGGAATAAAACTACTAAATTTGATTCATTAAAGAAGATGAAAAACTTTATCATCAAAGCTGTAACTTTGAATGGAATAGATAGTCATTTATTTACATATGTATGTCCAAAAGGATTTGACAAGGGGGAGAGGCTGGCTGGCCAGAAAATCTTACATGTGTAGCACATCGTACTCCAAATTACATTCAGTACATTATTACATGATGCATTAGTGTTTACACAGTGAAAGAATAAAAAAAAACTAGCTACTCATTGATCGAACAGGATCCCATTTTTAAACCTATGGAAAAATAAAAATGAATTTCTTCAACCTGTGGCAAAGTCGTGATAAAAATCTTTCAAAAACTGCTCTTCTGTGACCTTCCTGAGAATTTGGTTTATATCTTTTTGATGGTTTTGCATGTATTATTTACTGGTGTAGTGGTAAGCAGGACAGGCAGACAGTAAGTGATATTCAGGGTGCGTAAGGGTTGTCAGATTTAAAAATCAATTCTTTAGGTTAAAATAAGATTTATCGACCTATATAATAAAATTATTGGCGGTCCACCGCGACCTATAGATTCTTGCCTCCCCCCCCCTCCCCACAGTGTCCCACGTTCCTGAGAATTGATCGGCGGGACCCTGGCGGCCGGATATTCCAGTCCGATCCTGCAGGGGATTGCTAGAGTCCTTTAGCGTTTTTTCGGGAAAACCGCCGCCGCTCCCACTGCGTTCTTCCTTTCGTCCCGGTATTCGGCATGCGAGTGCCCCCGGGCGGCCGGAGCTTAGGTAAGTTTAAAAATTACCGACCCACACCGTCTCGGAGGGGCGCTGCGCTCCATGAAGCCGTTTATTCGACCGCTATGCCTAAAGTCCCCCACTTTGTACCTTCCCGTTCGCTCTGCTGGTTGGCACTGGGTCGGCGACGCACTATGGTCCACAGACTGGATTTAACGGAACTTTATTCGAAAATGCGCTGCACCGTTATAAAAGGTGTCGGATTTTATGTTTTTTGGGTCGCTGATTTCATTTTACATCTTAGTTTAACAAAATATTAACATCCTGACCGAGAAACTTCACCTCAAATGTGATTTCTGGCGCTTTTAAGACTGAAGATTTTTTCCACCCTATTTTGACATGTATAAAAATAATAACAAAAGTGTCTCTCTGTCGAGATCAGACAATTCTCATTTATTTTTAGGCGGTAAATCCGAATATGACCTCCGATTTGGTCCATCGCCCTTAAATTTTCCGGAAAAGCCGATTTTACCCGGAAAAATGGACATTTTTGGTGTTTTTGCGACTGTTGACCTCTGCAACATGTAGGTAAAATTTTTTCCAGGTACTAAATAGTACTAGTTCGATGTATTTTGATTTACTGAGTCCGAAAATGACCTTTGTTTTTTCTTATCACCTCTCTTTTTTCCGAAAAAGCGACTATTTCCCGGGAAAATGAGCAAATTTGACGTATTTTTGTCATAATTGCAATTCATGTTGATAAATTATACTGGACCCGTGGTAAAGCGATTCTGTCATGTATATTAAGCTGCTAAATCCGAATATGACATAGGTTTTGCTTTATCACCCTCCAGTTCTCCGATAATGCCGATTTTTCCGCGCCTTTTGGGTAAAACCTTTCCCGGACTCTAAGTGTGTTAAAAATGCGCTTTAAAATTGATTTCTATGTTTGATATATCGATTCTAATGTATTTTGACTTGCTAAACCCAAATATGACCTTAGATTTTTCCTATCACCCCTCTTTATCCCGGAAAATTCAATTTTCCTCGGAGAACGAGCTTTTTCGGTATTTTTGCGCCAATTTTCCTATTCTATGGAGTTGTAGCGATTTTCCAAGTTCCTCTGTAGGTCTTCTCTGACGTCTTAAGAAACATTCAACCGGAGTTCGACCTCAACTTGCCTCTTACAACCCCCCGTTTTCCTCAGAATACGGAAAATCGTCGCAAAAATACCAAAAAAGCTCGTTCTCCGAGGAAAATTGAATTTTCCGGGATAAAGAGGGGTGATAGGAAAAATCTAAGGTCATATTTGGGTTTAACAAGTCAAAATACATTAGAATCGATATATCAAACATCGAAATCAATTTTAAACCGTATTTTTAACACACTTAGAGTCCGGGAAAGGTTTTACCCAAAAGGCGCGGAAAAATCGGCATTATCGGAGAACTGGAGGGTGATAAACCAAAACCTATGTCATATTTGGATTTAGCAGCTTAATATACATGACAGAATCTCTTTATCACGGGTCCAGTATAATTTATCAACATGAATTGCAATTATGACAAAAATACGTCAAATTTGCTCATTTTCCCGGGAAATAGTCGCTTTTTCGGAAAAGTGAGAGGTGATAAAAAAAAAACAAAGGTCATTTTCGGACTCAGTAGATCAAAATACATCGGAATACTTTTATTTTGTACCTAGAAAAAATTTAACAGTCGCAAAAACGCCAAAAATGCATGGAATATTCCACATTTTGATGTACGGAGGTGCTCTCCGAAAAAAATTAATTTCGACCGTTGGTGCAAAAAGGCGCAATTTAAATTGGCATCATTTTAAAGTCAAGGATATATTGAACAAGATTTTTCAATCCGCAAAGCATTAACTAGCATTAAAAAAAAGTTAGAGCTTCCTAAAAATTACGAATTTCACTGATTTCTAGCATTTTTTGGCGTATGTTTGGAGCGTTCAAAAGCATACAAATTTCGGTTCAAAATTAATGAAACGGGGTGAAAAGGAAGTCACTTGCCATCAGATGGATCCATGTTGCCCAAAAATTTACATAGATGAGGCGTAACTCGGTAAAATAAACACCCTGTAACGCACCACCGAATGCGGCTCACAATCAGCTAATGAAGACCTACCGAGCGCTCTGTTGTTAGGGTCCGTCACAATCTTATAAATCATTATTAGTCGATGAAAACTTAGGTGACGATCCATGAGAGTATGTATGATAAAACTGTAGTGCCAAACTTTAATTTTTTCCACCCTCAAAATTTGACTAAAGTTCCGTTAAATAGGGTCTGTGGACCATAGTGCGACGTTCAATAAAGCCCACTCCTCCATTCCGGGGGAGGAGGGAGGGGGGCTTTCGGATAAATTGCATGAGGGATAAGTTAATTGAGGGTTTTCGGATAAATCGCATTGGCTCCCTCTCCGTCGTGCCTATTGGGGCCGCGTTTGGACTGGAGGTTCTGCCCTTCGTGCCGCGTTGGGCGGTGTGGGAGCTCTCCAAGGGTACTGGGCCCAACCCAGTATCTTTGTAGGTCAAGCGAATTTTGGAGACGGAAAGCGAAGTTGCTGTTGCCATGGTCATTCTGTGCTCATATGACTCGAGCGCACGGTGTCGCCGGAGCTCGCTCGGTGGAGGGAGTTAGGCATGCACTTCTTCGGGAAACCGGAATTCGGCACCCACGCAATCTTTTTCTTTTTTTCATGCCTTTTTACACGCTGGTACGGAAAGCGTGGTGGCCGGAGATTCGAGAGTCACGGGAACAGTTGAAGGAGGATTTCAATTATTTTTGATTAGGATATTTTTGATCTTCATGAAATTTCGCCTACTTGATAACCTTGCCTCGAAACTACCAAGAAGACATTTTTAGGCCCCTATGTCGACAGGGACCGGAGACACAGGGTGGTTAAATTTCACAAAAAATTTGGAATTTCTGGACTTCGCCAACTTTAAAATTCAATAGCTCCGGTTCTTTTGCAGCCACAGAGCTCAATCTTAGCTTGTTTGAAAGCTCTTGAAGAGCTTTTTAAATTGATGCACAACATGATATACTTCGGACGCAAATTCTACGCACATTCAACAAATTAAAGATAAACTCAATGCTGCTGGAAACCTTGTATGCCAAGTCTTATATCTTAGAAACCCACGAATAAAAATTCGAAACATTGAAGGCGACCTGTCAAATGAAGACATCATCCAAGATATTGTTGACAAAAATAGTTTCATTCAAAATAACTCCCGCTTCGACATCCACGAATTTAAGAATGGTTTCAAGATAGTAAAATCCTTTGAAACAAAAGCCGATCAAAGATTTAGCACTAAAACAGTTATCGCGGAATGTACTCCTCCTATCCGTCACACCATCGTGAACGTTCGACGCCTCTTCATAGGTCTGAGCAGTTGCCCCTGAAATGACAGTATCTATCCCACCAGATGCCACAAGTGTTTTATCTACGGACATGCGGCAAAATCAGGCAGATCCCCCGACCAGAAGTGTTTTTTCTGCGGTTTGCCCCATGACTCAAAGCGGATCTCTTGAAAATCTGACCCACCCAATTTGGAGCAAAAAATGCCCTCGTTTCATCCACGCTGAGGAGGCTAAGCTCAAAACGACCAATTTTAACAGTTAAAGATATCTCCAAAACAAACCGGAGAAATCTCAAGAAGAACAAAGGACAAACCAACCCCAGCCCTCCTGAATCTACAGAATACTTTTCGGCTCTTCTCTGCAATGCTGTTAGAGTTCCAGAATCCCATGACGCATCCAAAGAACTGGCTGATAATCTCAAATGTGGCATTATCGTAATACCAGAACCAAACATTGGGAAAGCGAAGTATGACAATCACTTATGCGATCTACGGGACGACGTTGCGATCTTCACAACCAAGAGCCTTATTGGAGGCTGTAGAAATTGGAAGCGTCATAGAGGTTTTGTCTCTATGGAATACGACAACATTATTTTTTACAGTTGCTATTTCCACCCACACCCCGCTCTCTCGTTAGAAGACTTTAGTGCTACCTTAGACGCCCTAGAGTACGATATAAAAAATCAAACCCGTCCTGTCATCCTGATGGGAGACTTTAACTGTCGTTCAACTTCCTGGGGTGATCGTCTCGAAGATTCACGCAGGAGAATTTGTCAAGAATGGATCGAATCAAACGACTTAATAGCACATTATGACCCTAGATCAAAAACCCCCACCTTCGAGGGTCCAATGGGACGATATTTTATTGACCTGA